AATAAAAAAATTGAAGTTGAAAAATGTTTTTTAAAAATAAGCTTTAAATTTATTTTTTTAACAAAAAAATTAATTTTTTCAACAAAAAAATTGTAATTTGAAGTTGGAGGAAAGTTTTGGAAAATATTTTCCTTAGGTTTTGAAGGAAAGTCATTTTCCTTGAATTTGAGGAAAATGAGTTGATTTGGAAAACATTTTATCTAAACAAATATGAGAAAATTGAAAAACATTTTCCGAAAAATATTTTCCTTCATACCAAACACACCCTTTATCGAGGCTCAAGTAATGAAAAGCTGTTAAAAATAATAATTAAAAGTTGAATATGTAGTGTGGAATGATCCAACAATGACATCGAATTTTAAGTTAGAACATAGTTTTGTTTTTTCTTTTTTTTTCCCCCTCCACATAGTTAATCTAGAATTTTGGTGAATGTCAGTTTCTCTGTGTGATCTTTTATAGTTAGCGTAAAGGTTTAAAAATTAATAATTGTATTATTGGTTTTTAAATTGGTTTTTTTTGGGGCCTGATTAATTTATATTAATGTCAGAAAGTTTCATTTCAAAGGTAAAACACTCCCTATTAGAGGCGATTTTATTTTTAAAACTCGAATCAAGACCTTTAATTAATGATAGAGAGGTACTTTTCACTCCATTGCGACCTTTGATGATAACTGTATATTGTCTCCACTGAACATTTCTATAATCTATACCCCATTAAAGAGTTTAACAACTTTTCTTTGAGAGAAAATAGATAATTACCCCATTAAAGTAAGACCCGTTTTGTAAAAAGACACTTGAACTTTTTGAAGGTCCTATTACCTCACTAAACTACTTTCAACCAAACTTAATATGTCATTTTTACTTATTTTTGCACCTGTTGTGTTCTCACATTGCAAGAGTGCGTGAGTAGTTTAAAAAACAGTCTCTAACCAATATAAAAAAGTCGTGTGGCATTTCAAATTGTTTTTTTTTAGAATAAAGATCCATCTTCCCCAAATCACTTCAAACACCTTAACAACTATTGAAGCTTGTTAGAGTATCTATGGCCGAGTTAGCACTGTAGTATTTCTCGAAGTTCGATTCACTGTCACAAGTCGAGTACTCCGTTAAGTCATCCTAGATTCTGAACTCGTCATTTGCTTCTCCTATCTTCTTCGTCATTGTGATGGTACAATTTATCATCGTCGACATTTGATATTTTTGACAGAGATGATGAAAAGATAACAAAAGTGAAAAGAAAAAATGAAGAGAAAAAAGGTCATTGTTAGTCACCATTTTATCTGATGAAAAAAATATTTTTCTGCGATAATGACAGATTAATGGTGGTTAGCCATGGTTGCTTCTACCATTTCTGCGATAATGACAGATTAATGAGGCGAAAGGCCTCTTGGTGCTAATAGAAGTATTTGTATAGTTCCAAGAATAGAGGAATAAAATAAAATGATTGTTTTCCTAAAATTACAATGATAATAGCATAAAAATAATAGATTGATTTTGTTTAACATTTCTAATTGAAGTTAATTGTTTTTTTTTATTTAATGAAGAAGGTTAGGGAAAGGGGAGAAGAGGATAGGAATGGAGAGGTGTTGTGGGGGGTGGAAAGTATTTTTTCTTTTATTTATAATAAAGAAAATTCTTTTTTCATATTTATTTTTATAATTTATGACATTTAACACGTGGCAATTTGAGATAGGAGTGTGAAAATCACACATTTTTTCACAATTGGGTTTAATAAAAAAATGAGGCAATGTTATTACTTTCAAATTATTTAGGGGGGTGTTAGATCCCCACAAAATTTAAATGTCTCTTTACAAAAAGAGTATTAGTTCAGGGTGGACTTTATGTATTTTCTCTTTCTTTTAATCAAAGTTTTTCTTGCACAATGTTTGAGCTTTAAAAGACTGTGGTTTATAGTATTCCTTCCCTTTAGGGGCGGACCCACCTTGGCCAAAGGGTGTCAAGCGACACCCCTTCGTCGAAAAATTACATTGTATATAGAGGTCAAATTTTGGTTTAATATATATATATATATATATATATATATATTAAACATCTTTTGATACAAGTGAAAGGTTTAGTCTAGTGGTTAAGGGTTGTAAATTTAATTTAAGGTTGTGTGATAAGCCCTGTTGGGCTCATATTATAATTACTTTGTTCTTTTTTTTTAATACAAAAACAAATAATCTAAATTGGGCAGAGCCCATTTTATTGAATAAAATTACACAAACAACTAACTTGAGCCCAAAAGTGGCCCAGGTCGGATCCTACGGAACAAAGAGGAAATAGAAATGCCTAAAAATAAAATAAGCAACTATGAAAAAAATTGAACCAAAACCTAAGAGAAAAGGATAGCCGTAGAGGCATTCTTCTCCATCCGATTGACCCTTCTCTCTCCTCCTTCGACCTTACTTCGACCATCGTTTCTCAGTAACACAACACGAGCTTTAGTGACATTCAAAGAGACGATTACGAGTCTTACAAATGCCATAGATTCAATCTCTTTAAAGACTTCATCAGATTAGAAATCGTGTTGCTACAATCATTTTCAAGGTAAGGTCCCAGATCCCAATCAGCTTAGCGTATAGATGGCTAAAGTGAGGTTTAATCTACTGTCACTTTGAGTTCTGTAGATTGCTCTCTAAAGGAACTGATAATGCTACATGAACTCTCAGATTTATTAGGTATATACCTTTTTCTTCATTTTAAATCTTTCAAAGCTTATATATATATATATATATAGAGAGAGAACTAAGATCGTAGAATTGATTGAGAGAAAACCCTAAACGAGATATCCTTGTCTCCCCTTTGCTTGTTATCTTCTTGTTTTTGTGGCTATTGATTTTTGAGTAGTTCCTATTCATGTTGTATGACATGTTTTGACTCTTTTTCAGCCTGATGTCAGCAACTTTGTTTTTCTCTAATTCGAGCATAACTTTAGCTTTCTATGGCAACTCTTGAATTATATGATATTGTTTGATGTTTGTGCCATTCCTCTAACTTCCACTACAATAGCCCAAGGTATTTTTCACTGGCCTTCCAACACCTTTTTTGAAACTAAAGAATCATTTTTCATTGTAAGATGAAAAATATAGTTGCAAATACAATATTCAATCCCAACTCTCGAAGCCCTCACTTTTGCCTCCAGAGCTTACCTCCAATAATCTAGCTTGTATATTAGGAAATTTTCATTTAACCACTTGACTAGTAATTAAAGGGTGATAATCTCTAAAGCTCTAATTAACA